TGTCAGAGACTTCCAGACAATAAAAGGGCGTGTTATTTGTAAGCTTACGCATTTGACTATACCTTTCTTGCTTTCTTACTTTGAATTTTGCGTGCGTATGTAAATTAATAAAGTTGTACTGTAGCTTATGGATAACTTTTCATTTATTGTCTGTTAACGAGAATGCCTGCCTTCTCTGACATATTTCGTAGACTTCATCTTAACTACACGTAGATACACAACAAGGTGGAAATCATTTTCACATTTTAATTTTAACTCTTCCAAGTCAAAATTTCTTCACAGGCCTATCCAAAATCTCGCAAAAACTGGACAAAATCTTGCTGTATTGAAGAAAATATAATGAAAAAAAATACCTCAAACATATTTCTTAAAATTCGTATTTAAAGAATTTTGCTATTTGAATATCATTAAAAGTATCGGTCTAAATTGTGTTTCGGCTCGTTTTCTAAAGAATGCTGCTTCGGTAATTAAAGTGCCTGTAATATTTTTGATACGCAATTCCATACATGAAAATGTTGTACCAGATGAACTCAAATGCCATTTTGAGTAAGCCTATTGCAGCTCGTTCGAAAGTTTATCAAAACACTGTCGAAAAATAAAAAAAAAAACACCTTTAAATTACTCTGCAGAAAGTGGTAAGATTTATTCTTAAACTTCACCGATCAAGATCAAGACTCAGTAACAAGGAATTAGAGCAAACTAGTATGTTGGATGTTTAGAGCAGGGTATTACAGCCCTCAGTACTCCAAGGGTTACGATCACTTCCGCTCTTCGTTACTCCAGGGGTTACAATCTTTTTTGCTCGGTACTCCAGTGGTTACAATCACTTTCTCTCCTCGGTACTCCAGGAGTTACGATCACTTTCTCTCCTCGATACTCCAGGGGTAACGATCACTTCCTCTCATCGGTACTCAAGAGGTTACGATCACTTTCACTCCTCGATACTCCAGGGGTTACGATCACTTTCTCTCCTCGATACTCCAGGGGTTACGATCACTTTCACTCCTCAGTACTCCAAGGGTTACGATCACTTCCGCTCTTCGTTACTCCAGGGGTTACAATCACTTTCTCTCCTCGGTACTCCAGGGGTAACGATCACTTTCTCTCATCGGTACTCCAGGGGTTACGATCACTTTCTCTCCTCGATACTCCAGGGGTTACGATCACTTTCACTCCTCAGTACTCCAAGGGTTACGATCACTTCCGCTCTTCGTTACTCCAGGGGTTACGATCACTTTCTCTCCTCGGTACTCCAGGAGTTACGACCACTTTCTCTCCTCGATACTCCAGGGGTAACGATCACCTTCTCTCATCGGTACTCAAGAGGTTACGATCACTTTCGCTCCTCGATACTCCAGGGGTTACGATCACTTTCGCCCCTCGATACTCCAGGGGTTACGATCACTTTCTCTCCTCGGTACTCCAGGGGTAACGATCACTTTCTCTCCTCGGTACTCCAGGGGTTACGATCACTTTCACTCCTCGGTACTCCAGGGGTTACGTTCACTTTCTCTCCCCGGTACTACAGGGGTTACGATCACTTTCTCTCCTCGATACTCCTGGGGTTACGATCACTTTCTCTCCTCGGTACTCCTGGGGTTACGATCACTTTCTCTCATCAGTACTCCAGGGGTTACGATCTCTTTCTCTCCTCGATACTCCTGGGGTTACGATCACTTTCACTCCTCGGTACTCCAGGGGTTACGATCACTTTCGCTCCTCGATACTTCAGGGGTTACGATCACTTTCGCTCCTCGATACTCCAGGGGTTACGATCACTTTCTCTCCTCGATACTCCAGGGGTTACGATCACTTTCTCTCCTCGATACTCCAGGGGTTACGATCACTTTCGCTCCTCGATACTCCAGGGGTTACGATCACTTTCTCTTACATCACTTTCTCTACTCCAGTGGTTACGATCACTTTCTCTCCTCGGTACTCCAGGGGTTACGATCACTTTCTCTCCTCGGTACTCCAGGGGTTACGACCACTTTCTCACCCTGGTACTCCAGAGGTTACGATCACTTTCGCTCCTCGATACTCCAGGAGTTACGACCACTTTCTCACCCCGGTACTCCAGGGGTTACGATCACTTTCCCTCCTCGATACTCCAGGGGTAACGATCACTTTCTCCAGGGGTTACGATCACTTCTCTCCTCGATACTCCAGGGGTACTCCGGGGTTACGATCACTTTCTCCTCGATACCCAGGGGTTACAATCATTTTTGCTCCTCGATACTCCAGGGTTACACGACACTCCTTTCTCTCACTCGATACTCCAGGGGTTACGATCACTTTCTCTCCAGAGGTTACGGTACTCCAGGGGTTACGATCACTTTCTCTCCTCGATACTCCAGGGGTTACGAGCACTTTCTCTCCTCGGTACTCCAGGGGTTACGATCACTTTCTCTCCTCGATACTCCAGGGGTTACGATCACTTTCTCTCCTCTCCAGGGTTACGGTACTCCAGGGGTTACGATCACTTTCTCTCTCCAGGGGTTACGATCACTTTCACTCCTCGATACTCCAGGGGTTACGATCACTTTCTCCTCCTTCAGGGGTTACGATCACTTTCTCTCTCGGATACTCCAGGGTTACGATCACTTTCTCTCCTCGATACTCCAGGGGTACTCGATCACTTTCTCTCATCGGTACTCCAGGGGTTACGATCACTTTCTCTCCTCGGTACTCCAGGGGTAACGATCACTTTTGCTCCTCGATACTCCAGGGGTTACGATCACTTTCTCTCCTCGGTACTCCAGAGGTTACGATCACTTTCGCTCCTCGATACTCAAGGGGTTACGATCACTTTCTCTTCGATCTCCTGGGGTTACGATACTCCTCATCGTGGGGTTACGATCACTTTCTCTCATCGGTACTCCAGGGGTTACGATCACTTTCTCAGCCTCGATACTCCAGGGGTTACGACCACTTTCTCTCCTCGATACTCCAGGGGTTACGTTCACTTTCTCTCCTCGATACTCCAGGGGTTACGATCACTTTCGCTCCTCGATACTCCAGGGGTTACGATCACTTTCCCTCCTCGATACTCCAGAGGTTACGATCACTTTCGCTCCTCGATACTCCAGGGGTTACGACCACTTTCTCTCCTCGATACTCCAGGGGTTACGTTCACTTTCGCTCCAGGGGTTACGCTCTCTCCTCGATACTCTTACGATCACTTTCTCTCCTCGATACTCCAGGGGTTACGATCACTTTCTCTCCTCGATACTCCAGGGGTTACGATCACTTTCTCTCCTCGATACTCCAGGGGTTACGATCACTTTCTCTCCTCGCTCCTCGATACTCTCCTCGATACTCCAGGGGTTACGATCACTTTCTCTCCTCGATACTCCAGGGGTTACGATCACTACATCCTCGATACTCCAAGGGGTTACGATCACTTTCTCTCCTCGATACTCCAGGGGTTACGTTCACTTTCGCTCCTCGGTACTCCAGGGGTAACGATCACTTTCTCTCCTCGGTACTCCAGGGGTTACGATCACTTTCTCTCATCGGTACTCCAGGGGTTACGATCACTTTCTCTCTCTCTTACGATACTTTCTCTCAGGGGTTACGATCACTTTCTCTCCTCGGTACTCCAGAGGTTACGATCACTTTCGCTCCTCGATACTCAAGGGGTTACGATCACTTTCTCTCCTCGGTACTCCAGGGGTTACGATCACTTTCTCTCCTCGATATTCCACTGGTTTTCGGTCACTTTCTCTCCCCGGTACTACAGGGGTTACGTTCACTTTCGCTCCTCGATATTCCAGGGGTTACGTTCACTTTCGCTCCTTGATACTTCAGGGGTTACGACCACTTTCTCTCATCGGTACTCCAGGGGTTACGATCACTTTCGCTCCTCGATACTCCAGGGGTTACGATCACTTTCTCTCATCGGTACTCCAGGGGTTACGATCACTTTCGCTCCTCGATACTCCAGGGGTTACGATCACTTTCTCTCCTCGATACTCCACTGGTTTTCGGTCACTTTCTCTCCCCGGTACTACATGGGTTACGTTCACTTTCTCTCATCGGTACTCCAGAGGTTACGATCACTTTCTTTCCTCGGTACTCAAGGGATTATGATCACATACGGTCCTCGAATCTCCAGGGGTTACAATCACTTTCGCGAGGAGTATCGAGTATATACTGAGAATGATGGTAACTCCAAGAATATCCGAAGGGCCATGATGTCATGTGACGTCCTTGGTAAAAACTACTGCAAACTGCATTTGAAAACTCTCATTATCTTTTCTAAATCAGGGACGTATACTATTTTATTGAAATTATCAGTATACGTCCGTGTCCAAATACTGTGGAATATAATTGGATATAAATATTGTAGTAAATATAATATTGTTTTGTGTGTGTTGTACCGGCTTTATACATGAAGAAATTTTGAAATATTCCGTGAACAGTGATATCATACATTGGGGAAAAGTTGTCTGCAGAGACCCCAAAAGGGTTGCTGCATGAATCAAATGCACAAAAATACGTATACGTGATCGAAAAATTTTGGCGGTTCGCTTGCTGTTACAAACCGGTTCGTCACAATTTTTAAATATCACGCGCATGTTTCAGGTATAAATTTGAACGGACTACAGACTAGACAAAATCAAATAGATCTAATATCAGCCGGCCTGGTCAAACCCATCTGGGTGCATGATTGATGATCTGACTAAAATTACTATTTTATTTTTGAATGACATCAGTTAATAATCACAGCACTAAAAATCAATACTTTTAAAATACTGATACACCTGATTTTACAAAGTTACAGATTATTTATAAATAATGGATTTACAGTGTCGTTTCTATTAACTAATGTCATACATTACTCTGAATCTGTGACTATGACATCTAGCCTGTATGAGACTTAAAAAGACTGTTACAGCTTTTATCGATCCGCAGCCTAGAATAAAAACTCATTTGGGAGTTATCTCCTCCCCACTTCCGGATAAAAGGAACCAAAACATGGCGAGAGATCTGCCTTCAACCAGCTCGTCATTAGTATGACGGACGTGTCAATGCATCCATGTTTTTCATAACTATTGCAAAAGTAGGTATACATGTCATAGACAATATTAATTCTATTTTCATTCTGAGAAGACTGTAAATTTGTGATTTCTTAATCGGATTCTGCTTAATCGGTCACTAGCAGACGGTTTCTTATCAGTTTCTTACAGTGTAATACCACGTCTTCATGTCGTTAGCTGCATGGTGTTCATAACTGTACCAATTATGATGTCTACCGCGTGCATGTTAGAAGATATACTTGTGTAGAATGTAGGATATCTGTTATAAAACAGGGTCTTTCATGCACGATCTTCTAGACGTGTTGCATTCTAACGAACTGTTAAAACGTCTCTTTTTCTACCTTACCGAAGTTACCCACGTGAATATGAATGTCAGTTAAATCGTGTCTGACATTCAGTTGATCCTGAACATTTGTTGATTTCAGATGTCAAATAAGCCTTACGTTTTCCCTGAAATTTAACAATTTTAATCTCAAAGTGATCTCATCATTCCCGAGAGTAGGTACTTGTTTTTAAACATTTTCAAGGGTCAACTGCATAGGCATTACATTTATAACCAGGTATACGTAATTCTCTATGTCACCAGCATGGGCGAAATTAGCATGAGCTATGAGAGACTGTGAGAGTTTAGCGTGTGCATGTCGTGAAGCACCTGTCCTTGGATTCCAGTCAAGTGATTCCACGCCTGGCCAGACAAATGTAATCTCAGATTTATCTCTTCATTTCCGCGAGTAGGTACTTGTTTTTCAAGGGTCAACTGCATAGGCTATCACTGTTTTACTTCCTTATATACTTTACATTTGAAAATATTATTATACAGGAAGACTTCTCTTAAAAACCTGTGAATACCCTGCAATATGAGTATAATGTACAAATTTAAGCTTTTTACAATTAACTTGAATCTTGACTAGGTCATGTCTAAACCAACATACTGAATCATTTTTTAAGCTATCAGTATCTCTAAAATTTTGACAAGCCAATTTCCACTTCCAGGAAAGTTATAATCAGCCCATTGTCTAATGTCAGTGTATATACATACAAATAAAAATCTGTTTTGTATAATCAAATCAATTTGAGTTTTTCACATATGAAAAAATAATATTTTTTTTTATTTTTCTGGTTTACTTTTTAAGTCCATAGTCAAATTTGCAAGCTACATTATTTTTCATACATATGTGTTAGAAAACTGATGTGTATTTATACAACATACATGAAATTATTTTTCAAGACACTAATCTTAAAGTATTTATTATTTAATATACATGTATATTTCCATGCTTCATGAATTCATACAACAAACGGTCGCTGTGTACTTGGTTTTCTCCCCAAGTTGTCATTGATTGTTGATAAGAACTTTGTCATTGCAATATTTTCTGGCATTTAATGTGCAGCTGGACATGAAAGCTTGACAGTCTTGATCTGTATCCAATGGATTTAATGAAACCATTTTCCATCAGATTGTCTGTTGCCTGTCTATAAAAGAAGAAAGATTATGACTGGTTCCTTTCTTGTATAATGTTCAAAATTAAATAGGTATGAATCAATCCAACAGACTGGAGGCGGGTTCTTCAAAGATTTATTATAGGTAGTCTGCAGACCTCTATTAAATACAACAGCGGCGTTGGCTCTATCCTTTACTCATGTTCAAAATTAGAGACAGAAGATCAGGATTCAATGCAACTACCACCTAAAACAAAAAAAAAGTAAAATTTTTGCTAATTTTGTGGGTGGTTATGTCAGTCTGTTGGTTTTGTAATGATTTGGTTTAGTATATATTCTTTAAGAATTTTTACAAGGAAAAATGACAAAACCATTACAAAGCAAATTGGTATTTAAGTGTACCAGAATATGAAATGATAACTAAGTATGTAAGTGTAACAAAGTATGTAAATGTAGCTAAATATGTAACTAGGAATTCAAGTGTACTAGAGTATTTTATTATAACTGATCTGTAAGTGTAGCTAAGTATGTGGATGTGGCTGAGTATGTAAGTGTAACTATGTCTTTACTTAACAAGTTTAACACTTTCCGAAAAGAATTGATCATTAATCAGAAACTGAATCTCACTATCAGGAATATCTTTAGTAGCACTGATATTATAGACAGGCAAACAATATTGTGACTTAAAATTCTCTATACATTTTTCAACCATATCTAAATATTCAGGATCATACAAAAAAGAATTATTAAGTTTCCATAGACCTCTCCCTCTTTTAAATTCACTTAACTGTAAAGCTGTAACTGTAGCTAAATGGTCAGATCTATAACTAGATTCAATAATTGATTTGTTAACACTAGATAGCAGACAGTCTGAAACAAGTCTGGCCTGTTTTACAGGATTGTTTTGTCTCCAAGTATACTGGTATCTGGGTGCAGTGCTCTATAAATATCAATAAGATTGTATATATCGTTAATTTCTAAAACCCTTTCCCTAGCAGCTGCATTGTTTATATTTCCATATGTATTATCATAGTCTAAATCTGGACTCAATACCAAATTGAAATCACCACTAACTATTACCTTTTCATTTCCAAAACTGTCTATGGCATTGGAGACTTGATTATAAAAATCAGGATTGTGGGTTTTTTTCATATAAATGTATTCTTGAGTGAGTATATGTGTGTGAGGAAATATCTTTGATAAGTGTAGGTGATAAGATTTTGTGCTTGTGTGTGTGAGTATTTTGTTAAGTACACGTAAGTTTGCTATGTGAGTGTAAGTGGGTGTGAATGTTGATGAGTGAGTTTGTGTGCAGGAAGTAGTAGATACATGTGCATGATGATAAAGATGATGATGATGATGATGATGATGATGATGATGATGAGGATGAAGAAGAAGATGATGATGATGATGATGATGATGATGATGATGATGATGATGATGATGAATGTACATGTTTAAGATGTATTCAAGTTATAGCACACAAGTGTGAGAGTGTGTGTGTATGTTTTTGTGTAGATTCTCTTGTATATTGTGTAATATGTAAAAACTTGTCAAAATATAAATAAATTACAAAAAAACAAAATAACTTTGAAAAGTTTAACACTATGTATATATTACAGGAATGAGGATTTCGCTGAGGCCTGAAAAGTTTAACACTATGTATATATTACAGGAATGAGGATTTCGCTGAGGCCTGAAAAGTTTAACACTATGTATATATTACAGGAATGAGGATTTCGCTGAGGCCTGAAAAGTTTAACACTATGTATATATTACAGGAATGAGGATTTCGCTGAGGCCTGAAAAGTTTAACACTATGTATATATTACAGGAATGAGGATTTCGCTGAGGCCTGAAAAGTTTAACACTATGTATATATTACAGGAATGAGGATTTCGCTGAGGCCTGAAAAGTTTAACACTATGTATATATTACAGGAATGAGGATTTCGCTGAGGCCTGAAAAGTTTAACACTATGTATATATTACAGGAATGAGGATTTCGCTGAGGCCTGAAAAGTTTAACACTATGTATATATTACAGGAATGAGGATTTCGCTGAGGCCTGCATGTCTCCGGAGGACTTCACGTTTGATCAATGCTGGCTGTAGATTATCAGACTGGTGGCAGCGGATATCCTATTATTTAAGCAAATTGGTAACACTAATTACACTCGTAATCGGGTTTCTTCTCTTCAGTAATAACGAGAAAAAACATTTTAGCTGACATAGGACTCAATTATTTAGGAGTTTATGGTGCAGCTGTAACTTGTCAAGTTTATACCTAAAATATTATCATACATCCTATCAGTGATGGTATTAGCATGGAAATGTACTGAAAACACATGTATCATGTATAAACATTGTATATACAGAGTAATCTTGCTTTAGTTCAAATTAAGAATTTCAGATGTTTTGTACTTTAATAACTTTGGGTTATTTTGAGACTTTGCAGTATCAATGATAAGTTACTGGTTTTTACTGTTTTAGAAAAAAAGATCAGTTTTCCCTTTAGATTTATTTGGATAAAATAAAAAAGTTTCAGTGAGTGAATGCTCATTAAAGATAAAAAATATTTCGTCACCAAAACATGTATAGGCTATACAATCATCACAGACGTCCCCTTGTGTGTAGATGTAAACCAATGGCTGATATGCATTTGTTGTATAGAAAATCAGTGGTAATGAAATGGAGATTAATTACACAACCAGTTGCAGTTATTTGATGGTAAAATTCCCTGGAAAAATTGCCGTATGTAATATTGTGATCTTTACAGCTGACAGGATTAGGTCTGTGAGTGGGACATATTACATAGTCTATAACCCTTGTTACAGCTGACAGGATTAGGTCTGTGAGAGGGACATATTACAGAGTCTATAACCTCTGTTACAGCTGACAGGATTAGGTCTGTGAGAGGGACATATTACATAGTCTATAACCTCTGTTACAGCTGACAGGTCTAGGTCTGTGAGAGGGACATATTACATAGTTTATAACCTTTGTTACAGCTGACAGGATTAGGTCTGTAAGTGGGACATATTACATAGTGTATAACCTCTGTAACAGCTGACAGGACTAGGTCTGTAAGTGGGACATATTACATAGTCTATAACCTCTGTTACAGCTGACAGGATTAGGTCTGTGAGAGGGACATATTACATAGTGTATAACCTCTGTTACAGCTGACAGGATTTAGTCTGTAAGTGGGACATATTACATAGTTTATAACCTCTGTTACAGCTGACAGGACTAGGCCTGTGAGAGGGATATATTACATAGTTTATAACCTCTGTTACAGCTGACAGGATTTAGTCTGTAAGTGGGACATATTACATAGTCTATAACCTCTGTTACAACTGACAGGATTTAGTCTGTAAGTGGGACATATTACATAGTTTATAACCTCTGTTACAGCTGACAGGACTAGGCCTGTGAGAGGGACATATTACATAGTTTATAACCTCTGTTACAGCTGACAGGATTTAGTCTGTGAGTGAGACATAGTACATAGTCTATAACCTCTGTTACAGCTGACAGGATTTAGTCTGTGAGTGAGACATAGTACATAGTCTATAACCTCTGTTACAGCTGGCGGCAGCAGTGTGGGTCTGTGAGCGAGACCTGTGGAAACTGTTGGTCGGGTTTTTCTTCCTCGTCTTACTATTTGTGTTGAGTTTATGGTATCTACTGAAGGATCCTTGTGAGACCACTGCTGCTACACAACACTTGGTGAGTCAGAATAAAGGGATGATGAATTGGAATGAAATGATGTTGACTTGGAATTAAATAACATTGAGTCATATTGAAATCAATCAATCAAAATACAATCCTTGCTAGACAATAAATTAGTTGGAAGCAGTTATTTTTGTAGGATTTTTTCCAAGAAAGTTCAGAACACCTTTTCCAAAAATTCTGAAGTGTGCCAATTCTAATGGATAGAGTGGGTCCTGAAAAAGTTCAGGACTTGAATATCTAAGTCCCAAAAAGCACTGAGAAGAATATAAATAAGACAATAGTGGGTGGGAATAAAAAAGTAGTGAGTCAGTCTGAAAATTCAAATGGTGAGCCAAAATTCAATAGTAATTCAGAATTATGGTAAACTAGAGAGTTCGGGAATAAAATAATTGGAGTTAGAATAAAAGACCAACAAGTTATACTGAGTCAAAATAAAGAGTCAAGATATACTCCATCAAGTGAGTCAATTTTGTTTATTGTTTTTTGGGGACCTATGTTATGTATATTAACCATTCTCTCGTCTGTTTGTCAGTGTGAAGAGTACGAGCGCGGGTATGTCTCGGGTACCCTTTGCTATGACTTGTGTATATCCAGAACATTTGTGTTGCCCAGATGTCTTTCAATGTCAGGTGATATCATGGTAGGTATATGAACTCAAATGTGATCTATGCTTTAGTGGTTACTTTTCATCTCATGTTTATCCATCAGTAAAACATTCTATGAGCACTTACTGCCAGGGGTATGACACCCTGTTTTACACAAACACTTACTGCCAGTGATATGAGACGCTGTTTTACATAAACACTTACTGCCAGGGGTATGACACCCTGTTTTACATAAACACTTACTGCCAGGGGTATGACACCCTGTTTTACACAAACACTTACTGCCATGGGTATGAGACCCTGTTTTACACACACACTTACTGCCATGGGTATGAGATCCTGTTTTACATAAACACTTACTGCCAGGGGTATGACACCCTGTTTTACATGAACACTTACTGTCAGGGGTATGAGATCCTGTTTTACATAAACACTTACTGCCAGGGATATGAGACCCTGTTTTACATAAACACTTTCTGCTAGGGATATGAGACCCTGTTTTACATAAACACTTACTGCCAGGGGTATGAGACCCTGTTTTACACTAACACTTTCTGCTAGGGATATGAGACCCTGTTTTACATAAACACTTACTGCCAGGGGTATGAGACCCTGTTTTACATAAACACTTACTGCCAGGGGTATGACACCCTGTTTTACATAAACACTTACTGCCAGGGATATGAGATCCTGTTTTACATAAACACTTACTGCCAGGGATATGAGATCCTGTTTTACATAAACACTTACTGCCAGGGGTATGACACCCTGTTTTACACAAACACTTACTGCCATGGGTATGAGACCCTGTTTTACACACACACTTACTGCCAGGGGTATGAGACCCTGTTTTACACACACACTTACTGCCAGGAATATGAGACCCTGTTTTACATAAACACTTACTGCCAGGGGTATGAGATCCTGTTTTACACAAACACTTACTGCCAGGGATATGAGATCCTGTTTTACATAAACACTTACTGCCAGGGATATGAGATCCTGTTTTACATAAACACTTACTGCCAGGGATATGAGATCCTGTTTTACATAAACACTTACTGCCAGGGATATGAGATCCTGTTTTACATAAACACTTACTGCCAGAGATATGGAACCATGTACACAAACACTTATTGCTAGTGGTATGGGACCCTCTTTTACACTTACTGCCAGGGAAGTAGGACCTTGTTTCACATGAATATTAATTTTAGTTTACTCCTCAATGACAAAAATGTGACCTAACTAAAATAAGATATTCTGGTTTTGACAGCAAATGATGTAATTTGTATTTGGTATAGTCCTTCTGCAATAAACATGTAAACATAGTTTAGAAGAAGGATTTACTCTCTATCTGTAATGTTTTTTTCAGACATTCCATTCCAAAAAATCTGTTGCTAAGTTCAAAGTACCACCGCGTGATGGCGCTACCATGGAGAATGATAAGTTTAACATTCCATTCCATTTGCATGCCCAAGAAGGCCGATTAACTAATGAGGATTTCCATCACCTCCTGGAACGCTTCATTATATCCAGACTGGGCCCCGTAGATGTGACTGAACTGATCGAACGCATCTACAACTTTGCCGATGCCAGTCATGATGGCAAGGTATGTATCCCTACAACAGACATTCTGTTTAGACAAATGATATGTACATATAAAAAAACCAAACACTTGTCATGAAATATCAAATTCTAAAATCTTGTTTACATTTGTCACAAGTTTTTTTTCTTCAAGTACATTGTAATAATTAGTGTATACCGGTAAGCCTATATTCTTCTTGTTTCATGTTCCACATCATATTAATTACCATTTAATTACAAATTGATTTCAGCCAGAATGGTCCTTGTAGAAAAGGAACATGAAGTTGTTAACTAAGAGGGGGTGGGGTTAGGGCAGGCTCACTCAGGGGGAAGGGTCATTTAGCTTAAAAATTTTAATTTTCCCATTTTTTAAAATGTCTTCTGTTGTTTGAGGTATACACATGCTACTGATAAATAGTATTATTTACTATAATTATTTGCTATAGATATGGGGTTAAGGATGAAAGTTGTTTAAGCCCTTGGTTTCCCAAATCAACCCCAAAAGAGAGCACAAAATTAACTGTTACGTTTCTTTTTGTATCCCTTGGGCAAGTGGGGGTCCTCAGAGAGAATATGGTCTCATTGATGCCAAAAGAAGGCAAGCAAATAAATTAGACTACATTCAAGATTATCAGATGGACTTTAAGGCCTTTTGTACATAATAAACTATGTAGCTGAGAAATTAGCCTGTGTTATGTCACAAATTTTTAAACCATTTGCATACTAACTTTATTGATGAAGATCTCTACCATGGTCTTTATATTTTTCAAATATGGAAATTTATTTTCTGTTGTAAATACTGATTCTGATAGTTTTATAATACCAAATGGTTATATTTTTTCCAGCTTAACTTTGGTGAAGCAAACTCCATCTGGGAACTTATTCATATCCATGAGTTCTTCATTCTCTTTCTGTTCCAAGGCGATGCAACATTCCCAGTTATAAATGCAACATGTGGTTCCCTCTACACGTACGATAAAGCCTTCATTCCAGCCTTATATGATAAAAAGAATAAAGGCTTTCTTGACAGGATATTTTCTAACACCTACCGCTGGAGTCTACCTAGGTGGGACAAGAGAGTCAATGTAGCCGTGGGCTTGTTAGAAAATGTAGCCTCTTTATCAGAACGAGGAAATGCTCAATTTCACATGTGCAATGTGAATCCAACCAAGTACGGCTACACTGAAAAATTTGAGGCAAAGTTGACCTACTTTGAGGACATTGTATCCCAGAACCAGTTTGAACTGGAGGTCAAGGGTCAGCCATGCTTCAGAGACCGGGACTGTTTCCATGGCGATTGTGTGATGGAGTGTGATACAACAACAGGGACATGTACAGGTGTCCTGAAACAGCCAACACTGGTACAAATGTGTAAGATTATAGAGGAGTACCTTGTTTTTGATGCACCATCAGAGGTCAAGGCTGCTCTGAAAGTATTGCTTTCCAAGTGTAAGGCTTTGACCAGCTCCCAGGAGAAGGCCCAAGACCCAACATATGCTGTGCAATACAACCTTCTGCTGGATGAACTATCAAAATTCCTTTGGGACCAAATCAAAAGCAAGCCTGTCAGCTGGCTTGACCTACCTAAAAAAAAGGCAGCACCTAGCTAGGTTAAAACTATGAATTAGTCATTGGCCATAATTGATATAAAATGTATCTGTCCTTGTTTTATATAGAGCATAACTGTCAATATGTTATATAAATAATGACTGTCAATGTTTTATATAAATTGTGATGGTCAATCTTTTATATAAATTGTGACTGTCACTGTTTTATATAAATTGGGACTCAATGTTTTATATAAATTGTGACAGTCAATGTTTTATATAAATAATGACTGTCAATGTTTTATATAAATTGTGACTGTCAATGTTTTATATGAATAATGACACACAATGTTTTATATAAATTGTGACTGTCACTGTTTTATATAAATTGTGACAGTCAATGTTTTATATAAATTGTGACACACAATGTTTTAGGGTATATGAATTGTGACAGTCAATGTTTTATATAAATTGTGACACACAATGTTTTAGGGTATATAAATTGTGACACAATGTTTTATATAAATTGTGACTGTCAATGTTTTATATGAATTGTGGCAGTGAGTGGTTAGAATCAGAAGCTAGGACCTTACATAGATTGTTTCAGGCTTTGTTTCATTTCTACCAGTTACATTTGTATAAGTTTACATAATTTTAGATAAATATTTATAATGTGAAAGGGCATACCAACAAACTCTTGATTCTCACTGAATATAACCATCAGTATTAATACTATTATATATTACCAGCTATGTTTAAATTTTTTTGTTATAGTGAAACCTTTTTTATTTGTACATAGCTATTTAGATTTATCCCAGAAAATTTAAACCTTCAAGAATAACTCATTATTTCAAAAGTCCAAAATGTTCATTGCAATGATATTTAAGCTTGTGGGGATAAAAGGTCCTTAAAATTGTTCATGTTGACCCAATTTTACATACATTTATGAAATACATAATGATTAAACAATTTTTATTTGCATTTATTTAAATATAAATGAAAATTTTTGAAGGTTATCTATAATATATCGTACCTAATTAGTAATAGAGTGTCAATTATGGAACTTCAGTTCATACAAGCTTTTATGGTCGTCAGTACCAATGCCAAAATCTTGAATCACCAAATATTATCAAAATATTTATGATGTGTTCAGGTATGTGAGCCTAAATAATATTGATGCAAATGTAATAATTTTGTATCATATTACATCAGTATAACTTCACACTGACATATTAGATCAGTATAACTTCACACTGACATATTACATCAGTATAACTTCACACTGACATATTAGATCAGTATAACTTCACACTGACATATTACATCAGTATAACTTCACACTGACATATTACAGCAGTATAACTTCACACTGACATATTACAGCAGTATAACTTCACACTGACATATTACAGCAGTATAACTTCACACTGACATATTACAGCAGTATAACTTCACACTGACATATTACACTGACATATTACAGCAGTATAACTTCACACTGACATATTACAGCAGTATAACTTCACACTGACATATTACAGCAGTATAACTTCACACTGACATATTACAGCAGTATAACTTCACACTGACATATTACAGCAGTATAACTTCACACTGACATATTACATCAGTATAACTTCACACTGACATATTACATCAGTATAACTTCACACTGACATATTACAGCAGTATAACTTCACACTGACATATCACAGCAGTATAACTTCACACTGACATATCACAGCAGTATAACTTCACACTGACATATTACAGCAGTATAACTTCACACTGACATATTACAGCAGTATAACTTCACACTGACATATTACAGCAGTATAACTTCACACTGACATATTACAGCAGTATAACTTCACACTGACATATTACAGCAGTAAAACTTCCCACTTAGCAGTGTAGTGTCACAATATCCTCAGTAATGTGATAAAGGTACAAACATATCCCATTAATAAGAAATTGAAATGTTTTTATCATTTTTTTTTTCTGATCATGTGAACTTTTTATTATACAATGTTGTTTGTGTGTCAGTTTTACAATATCAATATTTTTTACTTGTGTGTAACATTTGAAAGCTTGCTATATTAAGTTTATAATCAATTTATTTATCTTTATAAATTCTTATTGGGATTGTGTTCACTTAAGAGAATGATATGGTTTGTGTTCATTTAAGTCAGTGATATGGATTGTGTTAACTCAAGAGAGTGATATGGATTGTGTTCATTTTAGTCAGTGATATGGATTGTGTTAACTCAAGATGGTGATATGGATTGTGTTAACTCAAGAGAATGATATGGATTGTGTTAACTCAAGAGGGTGATATGGATTGTGTTAATGTAAGAGAGTGATATGGATTGTGTTCATTTTAGTCAGTGATATGGATTGTGTTAAGTGAAGAGAGTGATATGGATTGTGTTAACTCAAGAGAGTGATATGGATTGTGTTCATTTTAGTCAGTGATATGGATTGTGTTAAGTGAAGAGAGTGATATGGATTGTGTTAACTCAAGAGGGTGATATGGATTGTGTTAACTCAAGAGGGTGATATGGATTGTGTTAATGTAAGAGAGTGATATGGATTGTGTTAACCCAAGAGGGTGATATGGATTGTGTTAACTCAAGAGAGTGATATGGATTGTGTTCATTTAAGTCAGTGATATGGATTGTGTTAAGTGAAGAAAGTGATATGGATTGTGTTAACTCATGAGAGTGATATGGATTATGTTAACATAAGAGAGTGGTATGGATTGTGTTAACTTAAGAGAGTGATATGGATTGTGTTAACTCAAGAGAATGATATGGATTGTGTTAACTCAAGAGGGTGATATGGATTGTGTTAACTCAAGAGAGTGATATGGATTGTGTTCATTTAAGTCAGTGATATGGATTGTGTTAAGTGAAGAGAGTGATATGGATTGTGTTAACTCATGAGAGTGATATGGATTATGTTAACATAAGAGAGTGGTATGGATTGTGTTAACTTAAGAGAGTGATATGGATTGTGTTAACTTAAAGTTATTTGGAATGTGGTAAGATAGTTGTTACTGGTGGAAGCCAGTGATTCATTTCTGGTTTAAAGTAAGCATTGGTATCAGTGTGGTAGATAAGACCAGTGATTATGTAGATTAACTTAAGCTCTGCAAATTTGGATTTGAAACAAAATGTGGATGTAAGTACAAATATCATTTGTTTTATAACAAATTGCGAAACAATCATTGCTTGTGTTAATCCCTGTTGTTGCCCAGGATGGTCATTGGTTTCATTGTGGGAGGAAACCAGAGTACCAGGGGAAAACCCACTTGGCCCGATAAGTGACCCCATACCTTTACATGTTCAGGGAATCAAACTGTAGTCTCTGTGGAAGGCAAGTGTGTTACCACCGCACCACCCAACTACCCTTATTGATTTAATTTAAAAGAAGCAGACAATTATGTGAGTGGTTATTTGGATTGGTGAGAGTTAAGTGAATGGATATACATGCTGTGCTAAGATAGGCAAATTGTTATTTAGACGATGGAGAGTTAGGCAGGTTTTAACTTGGATTGACATGAAAAGTTGTTAGACATAAGCTGTGTGAAGCAGTAAGAAGGTTGTATTACTGTTGTAAAGACTGATCGACTCAGTGAGTAGAACTTTTATTGTTCATTGTCATGTTTTTGGTTTGTAATCAAACATATTATCGTGATGTTATATGTGATATTAGTGTGACTTTTATGAATCTAGTCAGTTTGTTTTTGGACTCTTTTACTTGGATTTCAACGTCTCCTGAATACTGTATACAGAGTAAATTCTAACTGTAGTATAATTTTCCTTCATACTGAAGGGTGATAATGAATTTGGATTAAAATAAGAAGTTAAACCTGATGAATATTATAATTATGTATTTTAGAACACTTGGTAAGAATGAATTTTTTATACCAGAGCAAAAAACCAAGGGCAAATATTTCCCAATATCCAGTATTTTATGTACCGGTAAGTTTTTGCAGCACATTTCTTTGATGTGTCTGTCATATACAGCCTATCAGGACTAGGTAATTACATCGGTGCATCCTATGGGCTAAATAGTGTAGGGATACAAGTTTGCTGTTGCCAGTGTCTAATTTTCACTATTAAACTACATGAATAAATTGAACTAACAAATGTATCATGAGAAGTATCAAATCACATAAGCTCATGTCATCCAACAGTGAAAACATGACAGTGAAATTTGTGCATGGCCTAATCAGTCCATTATACAGTATGAAACAAACCTGGTTTATTTTGAAACTTTAAAATGAAACTAGTCAAGTGAGTGTAGATTAGCTTATGATTTTATATGATACCCTGTTGAGTTTGCTAACATGACATACTGTTGTTACTGTGTTACTCAGCTTGTAACTTTCAATAAATGGTGTTCAAGTATTGATGTACTAGTGACTATTGTTTTGTATTCCTGTGATCATATCCACTATTGTCCAATATTAAATTAGCCAATCCAATATGGTCCTATGTACAATACCCAATCCAGTATGGTCCTGTGTTAAATTAGCCAATCCAATATGGTCCTATGTATATTAGCCAATTGTATATGTTACTGTGTTAAATTAACCAACCAAATATGGTCCTATGTAAATAAGCCAATCTAGTATGGTCCTTTGTATGTCATGTCAGCCAATCCAATATGGTCCTATGTATGTCCGCCAATCTAGTATGGTCCTTTGTATGTCAGCCAATCCAATATGGTCCTATGTATGTCAGCCAATCTAGTATGGTCCTATGTATGTCAGCCAATCTAGTATGGTCCTATGTATGTCAGCCAATCCAATATGGTCCTATGTATGTCCGCCAATCTAGTATGGTCCTATGTATGTCCGCCAATCTAGTATGGTCCTATGTATGTCCACCAATCTAGTATGGTCCTATGTATGTCAGTCAATCCAATATGGTCCAATGTATGTCAGTCAATACACTATGGTCCTATGTATGTCAGCAAATCCAATATGGTCCTATGTATGTCAGCCAATCTAGTATGGTCCTATGTATGTCAGCCAATCTAGTATGGTCCTATGTATGTCAGCCAATCCAATATGGTATGTCAGTCAATACACTATGGTCCTATGTATGTCAGCCAATCTAGTATGGTCCTATGTACGTCAGCCAATCTAGTATGGTCCTATGTATGTCAGCCAATCCAATATGGTCCAATGTATGTCAGTCAATACAATCCTATATTTATCAGCCAATCCAATATTGTCTTGGGTTTATCAGTCTATCCAATCCTATATTTATCAGCCAATCCAATATTGTCTTGGGTTTATCAGTCTATCCAATCCTATATTTATCAGCCAATCCAATATTGTCTTGGGTTTATCAGTCTGTCCAATCCTATATTTATCAGCCAATCCAATATTGTCTTGGGTTTATCAGTCTATCCAATCCTATATTTATCAGCCAATTCTGTATTATGCTCTGCAAGGTTTAGTGTAGAATTCAAATTCTTTGATGTTGTTTAAAGAAGATCCCTTCTGTATTTTGTATGAAATAATTAACACAAAAATTGTTAACCAACTGAGTGATTTGGTCAGCTCATGATATGATGATGATGGAAAAATTAAATGTATACATTCAACTACTTCCTCATACAACTCTTGACCTGTTGGTTATTGAGGACTAGCTTCCAGTATGACACTGGGTAATACAGTGCAGTACCTTCAAAATACCTGACTAATAATGACAGGTAAATATGCATTTGAAAACATTATGTCTAAATATATGAATGTAGATAAGGAAAGTGTTGTGTCTAGTGTGTATGCTGCTGAAATAATTACTATTAGACCGAGAAATGAACAAGAAAATGCAAAACAAAAGATTAATTCAATGGCGGGATTCCTCCTTGATATGTGACCGTTTATAATCCTGAAGTTACATTTAACATCGAGATGACATTATACCATGTCACAAACACTATAAAGTAGGATTCAATGTCACTCGTACAATCATTCAACTCATCAGCTACATTCCTTATCACCGAAGATTTCTTAGCCAGTAATAGCTGCAATGCATAGTGATACAAATAATTATAGGACACTCGCCACTAGAATCAGTTTATGAAAAATTTTGTATTGAAAATACTATCATGATGTCAGAGACTTGGATTGCCTGTGTGACCCCATGAAAACACTAATGTGGGAGTTACGCCTTACCATCTGTGCTATCGCCTCTGATGTAAAGATCATCAAAATCTTACATGTAAATTCATTATTGAAAACATAAGCGCTGAATATTTTTGGTCAAATTTGATTTTTTCAATTGTTCTGTATCAATGCATGCTTGTACTAGCTTTCAAGGATAGGATTTAAGTGCATCTGATCACACTGGATTTAGTTCAATTGCTTAAAAGTTTGTACATGTGTGCAATTGCATTCAAACCCAGGAAAACACCCATGTTTTAGTGTATATTGCTTCAGGTAGCATCTTTGATGATTTGTTAAAAATAACACAACGCATATCCAGGATAATTTTTTTCTAATAATTGGTCTTTGGACAAAGTTCATTTAAATTACCTATCCACATTCATTGAGATAGAAAATTCATTTTTCAGTCACATTTAGGTCGGATCAGGTGGTTACATACCAAACCTCTTTATTGAAATAAATGACCTCCTCCCTCCTTCAAGGTAACAGGAATCAAATGTGTTTAAACCGTCAATAAAGGGGGTATCAAATTTGTTAAAATAATGTCTTTTTTTTTCAGTCACAAGGATGTTATAACCGTTAATCAACTTCTGAAAACCATGACCTTGAGTCATAATTCCTAGAACATGATGGGATGAAGTGGTAGTTTGTTCAAAACATTGATTACCTTGACCTTAGTTCATGCATGATCATGTGTCATTTATCTCGGCATGCTACTATCAATATGTCTCGGACCTCTCGAATCTTGCCCTTCACTATTTAACTTTGAGCTCTGTTAGAGCTAAATTGTTTTAGGGGATAAAAAACAAAAAAAACAGATACTGGTAGATATTATGTCACTTGGCAACAAATTACAGGAGTAATCAGGGAAACTTTCTTTTCAGCCTAATTTTTTCTCAGATTTCTCTGATGTATGATGTAAAGAAGTGAGGTTTTTCAGACTAAACAAGGCAAAACACCTGTGGTCAGAAATACACTTCAGATATAATTTCAATAACAAAAACACTTGTTAAGTTTTTACAAACATTTATTCTTTAGTATTAAAACTAAGATAGAAGTAAGTTCTGATAATAGTATGTATCAGAAATTCTACCATGACGGATGACACAGAATGTAAACAGTTTTATAGACATGGAGGTCCCAGTCTGATTAAACTTACAGGTCATTGATGTTATAATCAGACTGGAATCTGTATGGTTAGTATCACTGGTACACAACCTGGCAAAATTTTCTTGTTTATTTTTCTGAGCTAAAACTGAGCTTATCTTTACTCTCTTTAAGTTGAAAACAACGACTATGCATTAAGAAGCTATTTTCATAGGCATAAAACTGCATAAACTACATATGTATCTAGATCTTGAGTTAAAGCAATGCTAAGAACACGTGTTTTGTTAACAAATGATACAGCTGCATTAAATATTAAAGGGTGCACTTCTAACATGATGATCACAGGTACGACATGAAACGCTGCATACGGTCTTAATTCACATCACAGGTATGAAGGGTAGTGAAAGAAACCAGTATTGTTCTAAATATTAAAATTAATCGCGCTTAAATAAAGGTTTCGAGCTAATATATAGACAGATACAGGCGAGTCTGAACACATTGACCAGTGAAGACCAGTGAGACTGACCACAATGACCAATTAAGACCAGTGAAACTGACCTTAATGATCAGTAAAGACATACAACAGTACACAAAATCTAGTACAGTTATAATATACAGGGTTATAAATGAATCAAACATTTGTTCAATGAGGCAAAGTACTACAGGCCTCTCACCAGGCATGGGTGTCAGCAATATTTGAGCAAAGCTTTATCATTAACAAAAATCTACAAGCTGTGTTGGAATCTTGCAAAACTACTGAATAAATTATCTAAAGCTAGAGAACATTAAGATTCTGCCATCAATCTGAGATAAACTAATGAGAAGACAGAGTATTTAATGGTTTACCATTTATATTTCACAAGTGATATTTAATGAGAAACCATTAAATCTCCTTTTTATTAAGTTTTAAAGAAGAAAAACTTGAAAGCTGTTCTTAACATAAAATGAAGTGTCGTTCAAAAAAGTTTGGAAAATATCAGCAGAAAATTGACGAAAAAGTGAAACAATCATTGGAAAATTGATGACATCACAAGTAGTGATGCAGAAATTATAGAAGTTTTTATCAAATTGATAAATTCCTATCCATATATTTCACTGACAAACATGTCATAAATCATTATAACATCAGAGTTAAATCACTGAAAACTTATTTAGGAGTAGAAATGTAGCCCAGGTTAAGTTGTGATGATAATCAACACTCAATACTATATCACTGGTATAAATGAGGTAGAATCAAAGCTAGTTTTAAACCCTAATGCTAGAGTGGCTGGAGTTACCTGTAAACTATGGCCAAGGTATTGGTTCTAAAACAGCAGCCAGGTTACACGTCGTTGTTTACGGGAATCCATGGGGATTATACATTCCAACATTACAGGTTTCATAATAAATGACAGTTACATAATTTGATAACTAATTTTACGTTAGAAAACAAATCAGCAAATTATAATTCTGTGGTACAAGGTGTTCACAGATCAAACACAAATACATTAAGATCAAGACACACTAATGTCATTTTGTGCTGTCATCATTTTCTGGTAACAACCTATTTTATATAAACATTGTGTAATGTATACTGTATCACCAACTCAGTGGCACATAACACTTGCATGACCATCCATCAGTGGCATGCATCACCTGAGGGACACACATCACCTAAGGGACACACATCACCTGAGGGACACACATCACTTGAGGGACACACATCACCTAAGGGACACACATCACCTGATGGGACTCACATCACCTAAGGGACACACATCACCTGAGGGACACACATCACCTAAGGGACACACAGAACCTGATTGGACACACATCACCTGAGGACATGCATCACCGGATTGGACATGCATCACCTGAGGGACAAACATCACCTTATGGGACATGCATTACTTGATGGGATACACATCAGCTGAAAGGACATGTGTTCTCTCTGCTCAACTTAAAAGACCTTTTCTTCTCTCCCCTAAATCACTCTAAACATTTATCATAGTTAAGGATTTCTATTCTGGCAGTAAAGCCGAGCTCTAAAATTTCTTCAGAAATGTGGATGTGGGGAGGCAAATGTCACATCTATCACAGTGAACCCAGCAATCATACAACAGTAATCACATGTCTTTTTGGCTCTGAATTGGTCTGTACAGGTAATTTCATGGTGCTGATTATATTGAGGAGTTTGTCAATGTTGGAGAATCAGTAAGTACCTTGGGTATATAAACTCAATGGTTACAACATCTCCAATACATATATATCAGCTCTTTGTAGTACCAGATTCCAAGTTGGGTTAGTTTGCAAGACAGAAAAAATACAACAGTTACAATTAATCATTCTCATTTTAATAAATTTCTATCACTTTATTTATCTATATTTCAAAACTTCTTAAAATTCCTTTTTACTTCTCTAAATTTGTGAACTACAGTCGAATTTACTACAAAAACCACCTCCATTAAGCATTTTACTTTCTGAAGAGACCATCACCAGCAAGTAATTATGTTTCTAAACAAATGATCTCCACCAAGCAAATCCCTGTCTTACAAGACCACCTTTACTAAGCATTTTCCTCTCTAAAGAGACCACCCCCATTAAGCAATCCAATTTCTAGTGAAACCATCTCCAAAAAGTAATTTCCTCTCAAAAGAGGCAAACTTCACTATGTCATTCTATCTCTCGTGACACCAATTAATCAAATCACGGAATTCAATAGATGATAGATATGTATAACCAATAACTGTCACCAAATCAAGAGAGTAGACACTATTCATTTTGAATCTTAAGATTACTTCCCACCAATATATGGTAAAATTGGTGAGGCATGATACCGCCCACAACAGACCAATATATGGTGGATTTGGTGAGGCAAAGTACTGCCCAACACAGACCAATATATGGTGGATTTGGTGAGGCAAGGTACTGCCACCAAAAGAGACTAATATGCAGTGGATTTGGTGAGGCATAATACTTAATTCAATTATAGAAAAATTAATTAAAATCACAAAATTATCTTGTAATGATGCACTATAACTGTTGAGCATTTGGTCTAGTACTTTATATATATATATATTAGTTAAAACACAGATCAATGCTATGTAATATACAGGGGAAACTGACTTACTATATATACAACATGTGTCAGTACCATCTATATAAACAGTGAGACATGTTTTCTGTAAGGAGAATACACATAACCTTGCATGTCTGGTGTTAGTTTGTCAAACCTGGTAACTGAAACTATATCAAAGTGTTAATTTGACGGAAAATTAAACCTTGTTTTGTTGCTTGTCAAACCCTGGAAAATTTATTTATGTAGTTCTACTTTTAGCATGGCCTGTGCCTTGTGTAGTACGGTAGGAAGCGACTAACACTAGGTCATCTGTTCGGAAAAGGTTTTCAGGAGTGATTCATTATTATTGTACAGAAACACAAACATGGTGGGTACATTTAATATGCTGACAGCTGACACACAAGGAGAGACAAAGACAATAGTACAGTCCTATACAAAATATATTGTCTAAACGAACTTTTATAAATAACAATTTAGAAACAGAAATATTATACTTGTTACATTAACCTCCAGAACTCTACATGGTAAGTTATGAAAACTATAGACACAGAAATATGTTTGAGGTTATGAAAAGTAAGCACAGAAATTATATTTGAGCTCTCAATGTTTGGTTAAGAAAACTAGGTAAATAAATATGTCCGAGCTTTACATGGTAGGTTATGAGGGTTATAAGTATAGAAAAAAGTCTGAGCTTTAAATGGTAAAGCAATCAGAAGTAACTTTAAGACTGCCTCACTGCTGTGTCATCTGTAGCACCTGTTGGACAATCATAAGGAATGTTTAGTCAGTAGGTAAAACAAAGCCATCAACATAATCAGTATTACATTAAGAATACAGTTTAAAATTTGAGACAGAAAAATTTCACGAGGAGGAAGCAATAGGCATAGCAACGGTGTTGGGTTTACAAAGGATTGACAACTTGTGAAAGATATTCTATGATGGAGATCTGAGGTTCACAACTGGGGTGAAAGTTTCGATGATAGGTTTTGTTAGTTATTGGTTATGATATGATACATGATAGGAGATAATGATCAAATTATATCATAACACACTAAAGTGTTGTTATAATAACACTACAGAACATATGGGGCCGTCTACTTACACGTTATAACATGTTATCTATACAATAACACATTTCTAATGACAATGATGAGATTCTGTATCTACAGAACTAATACAACAACAGCCATAAATATCCTAACTTTAACAGTGTCCATGATAAACAATGAATACCCTGTTGTTCACAGCGTGATAAATGACAATAAAAAATTTCTCTGTAAGGCACAGGAAATCAATCAGCAGGCAGAGATATTGGTAATCATCATACAAACATGGTCTTGATTACCAGTTCAAATCAGTATAACATGATCTCACAGAGTTTTTACAAAAAAATCCACATTACAAAATATTTCATTACTTCATACTCCTAGACAACAACCACCAAAAAACAGTCTTCAGTATACTGTGAAATGGTTAAACATGTTTTTCTACTGAACACAGATCTGGTAAATCTGAATACACAGGAGTCAACCTTCACCTCCAACACTGGCCAAGTTACAATGATCTCGTGTGATATCGTTTTCTACTGGAATTTACCGAATTTAATATTATAGTGTTGGTGTGATATCTTAGAAAGCATAGCAGTTATCTTTTTAAGTCCAATTTAACAGACTTATTTTCTGGTGTGGCTTATTCATTCAAGTGATGGAGTTATCTCCCTATCTCCAAACAGTCTATTTTGAATCCAGTAATCCCCCTTGGCAAAAGTGTTCTGATGCAACATCAGATTTACAATTATCCCCCCTGACAAAGTGTGGTACAGCAAAAGTTGAGGTGGAGATAACAGGCAGAATTTTAGGCAGCATTTCCGTTACGCGGTTGAAATGGATCAGGTGATCTGGAATTATTCCACTATACATGAATGCACTTGTACCTGATGTTGGACCTAAAAAATATATGTAAAGCTCAAAATGAACATTTTCAGAATTTCCTGTCTATCATAAATCAATTAACTAAAGTTAAGATACCATCCATTTCACTCATACTTTATAGCACAATGCTCCCGAAAATATGTGAGTGCACTGACCCTGCTTTTTATGCTGAAATTCTTAAAAACTAATGATATTCAACAAGTCAGTTTCTGGCAGGTACAGCTTGACCACTGAAACTGCACATGCCAAATATTACGCAGTCCAGCCTCAGTCCCGATCTGTACCTGCCTCTTTTACTTCACTCTCCAACTGTTTCAACAGCTTATGCAATAGCGCCGTAAGCGAAGGCTAGTTAAATCTACTTCGTAGTCTGACCAGGTTTAATGAGATGAAATGAGACATAATGTAATAGCACCAAGCGTACCATTAGAAAAGCTCAAATGGGAGAATCTAAAAATAGAAATGCAGTTATCTCCCTTGAATCCTAGTGTATTCTCTTTTTCTATCTCTTAACACCACATAGAACCTTAATAGGAGTAACATGTTCAAATACTTACATACTGTTTTACAATAACTTATAATGGCAATGGCTGCAGTACATATAAACAATGCCATGACTGCCATAAACACTGCCATGGCTTAATACAGTGTCATGATTAAGTATTAACATTTTAATGGTAACTTATAAATATTTCCATTGTAACATGTAAACATTTCCATGGTAAGCTGTAAACATCTCCATGGTAGACTATAAAAGATTTGTAAGATATATCTTAATGCCTTTAGAAACCTTAAGAAAATCACAACATAGGAATTGGATTTGTTGAATTCATATCTTTTCCAGGAAAGTTTTCTAAAATCAAAATCACAAAGTCTTGTTTCTGTTCAATGAAACATCATTTTACAACATATGATAGAATAAAACAGGAATGAGTCCAGGATCCTAGAGTGTCTTGCAACAGAGACAGGCTGGAATTCTCTTCCTTAATGGATTTGCTTGTTCCTGTGGAGACATATACAGGGATAATAATAGAAAGTCCAACACCAAGGGTTTTAGCCAAACAGCTATTGTTCCCAGGTTCATCAGAATGATGCATATCACTTAGACTCCTGAGGTTGCCTAGGTGTCAAACAATTATGATTCCTAATTTCTTCTGAACGACACCCATCACTTTCACTGCTGATGTCACCTGAGGGCTGAATGGCTTTAATTCCTGGTTTCAACAGAACAACACCCATCACTTTAACCTCTGTGGTCACCTTAGGGCCGTTGTACCATCTTTATCTACCAGCAGCTGTAGTCCTGAACCTGTCACACAAAGCACAGAGTCTACTATTAGTGTCTAACAGGGTAATGCATTCCGAACTGACAAAAAGATATTTTTAAATTTTTACTCAGACACAACAATAAACAATTTTAGACACCAAGTATTGTTTATTGTTTTATTTACTTAACATTCACACAAAGATAAGGGGTGTGAGAGTAAACAGATTCAGCACAGTCAATATACCAATAAGGACAACATACTTTCTTCCCGTGAGGATAGAAGGTCTGCCGAGTTGAGGAGTTCATCAACAACCCCTGTGGCATCTACTCGTGTGGAATCCATCCTCTTCTCCTTCGTAGAGTCCTCAAATTTCTGTAATAACAAACAGATGGACTTATGGGTGTTTACATTAAACACTCTGCATCTTTCTGTTAAACGTTGAATTACTTGTGTGAATTTGTTTGCCTTTTCAAGCACTTCAAATCAGAAATTTATTTAAAACTTAATAAAAATTCCAGTCAGAACTGGCTGTAATTTTGAGCCCAGTTTTCACTTCAACACCTAGTAGATATTCTTTATCTCTGACTAATTTGATATTTTTTCTCTCTAAAGAATATGATACAAACTGACTATGAAATCACAAAAGCAATGACAACATACCTTTCTGCGGTCGCCTTTGATGAGATCATTGATGAGAGCAGATCCAGCACTTGGACTTCTGTAAAAGAAGAAACATATCTAGTGTTAGCCAAATTTTTATCTTAATTGTGCATGATCCTTCATAGTGTCAATATCATGGTTGGCTATTCGTAAAAAGCATGATATATCTGGATTGTATGGTTGACTATTCATACAGTGTAAGATATATCCTGACACTATGGTTGACTATTCATACAGAGTAAGATATATCCTGACACTATGGTTGACTATTCATACAGTGTAAGATATATCCTGACACTATGGTTGACTATTCATACAGTGTAAGATATATCCTGACACTATGGTTGACTATTCATACAGTGTAAGATATATCCTGACACTATGGTTGACTATTCATACAGTGTAAGATATATCCTGACACTATGGTTGACTATTCATACAGTGTAAGATATATCCTGACACTATGGTTGACTCTTCATACAGAGTAAGATATATCCTGACACTATGGTTGACTATTTACACAGTGTAAGATATATCCTGACACTATGGTTGACTATTCATACAGTGTAAGATATATCCTGACACTATGGTTGACTATTAATACAGTGTAAGATATATCCTGACACTATGGTTGACTATTCATACAGTGTAAGATATATCCTGACACTATGGTTGACTATTCATACAGAGTAAGATATATCCTGACACTATGGTTGACTATTCATACAGAGTAAGATATATCCTGACACTATGGTTGACTATTTACACAGTGTAAGATATATCCTGACACTATGGTTGACTATTCATACAGAGTAAGATATATCCTGACACTATGGTTGACTATTCATACAGTGTAAGATATATCCTGACACTATGGTTGACTATTTACACAGTGTAAGATATATCCTGACACTATGGTTGACTATTTACACAGTGTAAGATATATCCTGACACTATGGTTGACTATTCATACAGAGTAAGATATATCCTGACACTATGGTTGACTATTCATACAGTGTAAGATATATCCTGACACTATGGTTGACTATTTACACAGTGTAAGATATATCCTGACACTATGGTTGACTATTTACACAGTGTAAGATATATCCTGACACTATGGTTGACTATTCATACAGTGTAAGATATATCCTGACACTATGGTTGACTATTAATACAGTGCAAGACATATCCTGACATTATGGTTGACTATTCATACAGAGTAAGACATATCCTGACACTATGGTTGACTATTCATACAGTGTAAGATATATCCTGACACTATGGTTGACTATTCATACAGTGTAAGATATATCCTGACACTATGGTTGACTATTCATACAGTGTAAGACATATCCTGACACTATGGTTGACTATTCATACAGAGTAAGACATATCCTGACACTATGGTTGACTCTTGTGCAGCGTATAAAACAAATACTGTGAAAAGAATGTTAAAGAATTTTGTATATAAAATGTAATATTGCTACTTGAAGCAGTGAGTGACAGTATTGTAGATCTACATTCTAAATTCTAGCCATCAGTAGTATTGACTTCACACATCACAGCAATCAACACTCTGACCACACTATGGAAGCTCTGTGCACCTTATGATGCAGTCTGCTGTTAGTTAAAACAGGATATGATGTACATAAAAGAGTGTATAGAATTATATATTAATGATATAGTAATGTACACATATATGTATTTACATTAATGATATACAGTGGTTCCGAGTTAATTCTGATGCCAGCGGTGTGGAAAACTTGCAATTGGGATGGAAATATTAGGGAAAAGAGTTCTGTAATATTATTTATATCAACTAGCCTGGAAAATCAAATTCTAGAACCTGAAATATTTTTAGAAAACAAAATGCATTATTCCTGACATATTTGTCATAAAGTTAAGTGATCAGCATACCGATCACTCTTTTGTAATAGTACGCTGCAGTGTTCAGGTCATCCTCATGGGCACCCACCTGTGTCATCAGCACTACATGTATATATACAATTGTCCAGTAGGTATTTGATTGTAGCCCTAATTCATAAACAGACTTCTTCCTCATTAATTAGGAAAATTTAACTGTACTGTAATTAATCTGTTATAGAGACTGAAGCTTGGGTGCAAATATGGTCACAATAACAAATAGAGCTTGGAGATATTCAAAGCTGTCTCCAATATTCCATACCTTGGATTGGGAAGTAAACTTAAAGCCAGATGACTTTATGATGAAATATTATTATTCAACCCATAAGCATGTAAAACATGAAATATTGTGCATAGGTTAAAAGTCGAAATTCACAACTACTGGATTGATCAAGACTATGTTTTCTTTGCACCAACACAAGTGGATGTAGCCGTTTCCACAATGAGAAAGTTGTCGTATAAATACATGACTTTTCCACTTCTAAAACTTAACATATAAACATGAAGACCAAGGGTACCATTCACTGAACACAAGTACAAGTTATCCATACATATAGGATCAAGTTAACCACTTGCTCTTTCTTATTCACAATAAATGCCATGTTTAACAAGCAGTATAAAAATCCAAATGATTACATCAGTCATGAATCATTAATCAGATGTCTATGTCCTCAGGTTATAAAGGGACATCACTCTGTATGACAGGCCATACGCCAAACTTTGCAGTCTAGAAAACTTGTGATCCAGATGATGTAAACAGGGAATATAGGTGTAGGTTCACAGTAGTATAGCAGAATTAATAGGCACATTTGATTTGATTAGGTATGATTATCAATGATTTAATACTTCATCATCATTAAGATGTTTCATTTCTATTAATAACTTGTCTGTTTACCTATACCCAGAGGTTTCCAAACTTCAGGATTGGTCACACATCCAGTGTTTTATTTTGCTTACATTTATCAAACTGTGAATGCCAGTTATGAATGAAATGATAAAAGATTTTAATGTGACTGAGAAGTTAAAGTAGAAGTAAACATTAGGCCAAAACACACCGGTATACTCACAAATATAAAACATTCAAAAATCTGTAAAGTGATATAAGTCATGCATGTATGTGCAGGTATACAGAAACAGCATGTACCAAAGTAGCAAACCTATCTACTGACTAAAGCAAAATAAATGTTCTGAATGAAAGAAAGTATCATAAATTGGGAAATGTTTGCAAAGTATTAAAATTAATCTGAATATTTGATGAAATATATTTTCATTTAAATTTTGTATATTTTCAATTTTAACAGATCTGTGGTTCTTCCTATCTGACTGCCTGAAAGGTTTTCTTTCTGAACTTACATTTTGATACCACAGACAAATTTGCTTTAACTAAAGTGATGCTAAAACTTTCCCAATTTGATGCTATATATTACATCCTCATACCGACCACAGGTCTGTAACATTACCTCCCCTTTCCACCCCTTCCTTAATCTACACCAAAAATACCTCTTCTACACAGGTATTTCTGACTGTAACAGACCTGTGGTTATGTAACCTTACCTTTTGCAATGGTCACTGTTTCATCAGATAAGAAAGGAAAATAGATTTATAATAAGGATTGTGTTTTCTGCTGATCACTCATATATTTTCTTTTCCTTGACAAAACCAGAGAAATATTATAGTATAGTACATTGGCAGATACATGCTATCATTTACGTATGAAAAAGTACTTTGATTTGGTCCATGCTAATTGTAGATACAGTAAATACTTAAAGGTATAAGGTTTTAGTGCTAATTTCTACATATAGTACCTAACTTCTAGTACCTAACTTCATGCTAATTTAATTTATCTTAATAACATGTATATATGGGCAGCATTTTGATTTTCTGACTTAATTGCACCAAACATTTCTTGTATCAGGTTGATATACCTTGTGTGGGTGGGTTTTTTGTCTGGTAAGATACCTTGTATGGGTGGGGTTTTTGTCTGGTAACATACCTTGTATGGGTGGGGTTTTTCGTCAGGCGACAAACATTGTATGGGTGTGGTTCGTGTCAAGTGACAAACTTTGTATGGGCGGGGCTCTTGTCTGGTAACATACCTTGTATGGGTGGGGTTTTTGTCTGGTAACATACCTTGTATGGGTGGGGCTCTTGTCTTGTAACATACCTTGTATGGGTGGGGTTTTTGTCTGGTAACATACCTTGTATGGGTGGGGCTCTTGTCTTGTAACATACCTTGTATGGGTGGGGTTTTTGTCTGGTAACATACCTTGTATGGGTGGGGCTCTTGTCTTGTAACATACCTTGTATGGGTGGGGTTTTTGTCTTGTAACATACCTTGTATGGGTGGGGTTTTTGTCTGGTAGCTTACCTTGTATGGGTGGGGCTCTTGTCTTGAAATATACCTTGTATGGGTGGGGTTTTTGTCTGGTAACATACCTTGTATGGATGGGGTTTTTGTCTGGTAGCTTACCTGGTATGGGTGGGGTTTTTGTCTGGTAGCTTACCTTGTATGGGTGTGGTTTTTGTCTGGTAGCTTACCTTGTATGGGTGGGGTTTTTGTCTGGTAGCTTACCTTGTATGGGTGGGGCTCTTGTCTTGTAACATACCTTGTATGGGTGGGGTTTTTGTCTGGTAACATACCTTGTATGGGTGGGGCTCTTGTCTTGTAACATACCTTGTATGGGTGGGGTTTTTGTCTGGTAACATACCTTGTATGGGTGGGGTTTTTGTCTGGTAGCTTACCTTGTATGAATGGGGTTTTTGTCTGGTAACATACCTTGTATGGGTGGGGTTTTTGTCTGGTAAGGTACCCTGTATGGATGGGGTTTTTGTCTGGTAGCTTACCTTGTATGGGTGGGGTTTTTGTCTGGTAGCTTACCTTGTATGGGTGGGGCGCTCTTGTCTTGTAACATACCTTGTATGGGTGGGGTTTTTGTCTGGTAACATACCTTGTATGGGTGGGGCTCTTGTCTTGTAACATACCTTGTATGGGTGGGGTTTTTGTCTGGTAGCTTACCTTGTATGAATGGGGTTTTTTTCTGGTAACATACCTTGTATGGGTGAGTTTTTTGTCTGGTAGCTTACCTTGTATGGGTGGGGTTTTTGTCTGGTAGCTTACCTTGTTTGGGTGGAGTTTTTGTCTGGTAACATACCTTGTATGGGTGGGTTTTTTGTCTGGTAGCTTACCTTGTATGGGTGGGGTTTTTGTCTGGTAACATACCTTGTATGGGTGGGGTTTTTCTCTGGTAGTATGGATGGGGTTTTTGTCTGGTAGCTTACCTTGTATGGGTGGGGTTTTTGTCTGGTAACATACCTTGTATGGGTGGGGTTTTTGTCTGGTAGCTTACCTTGTATGGGTGGGGTTTTCATTGCCTATACTGGACTGTCGACTGTGTGATAATGAGACATAGCCTGTTGAACCTTTAGAATGCTGACTTGCATAGCTGTTGTTTCGTGAATGGCTCTTCTCAAAGTCATGGTTACTGTCAAACTCCGGGGGATTTTCTGTAATACAAACCAGTAATCTAACAAGATGTAAGGGCAGATTACTTTCATTTCAACATAACAAGAGGCCAATGGGACCTGTATCACTATGATATAATCAATCATAATTATTATTAATTTTTAAATATAGATCCTATCTACTAATTTAGAGGCTTTGTAAGATATCTATTTTTTAAATTCTTGGACACAGATCCTCAATCACCGGGCTTTACATCACAGGACTTACCAACAGGGAGGATTGCAGGACGGTCTTTCCTGGGGAGACTGTCAAACCCGCTGCTGTTGGAGGCAAGACTTCCCTCACTACAGTCCTCAATCCCCCGCGCTTCCTGTTCCTGCACATCCATCATCTCCATCGGTAGACGGTAAAACACAGACTTGCTCTTTTGAGGACTAACAATGGTAGTAAATACTTTGAGATTAGTTACATAAAACTTCTGTCAGTAAACTTTATCATGAGTTTGATAACTATAAGGAAATACTTCGTATATTAGACTTTCACATATAAACTTTTCGTTAGTTCACAATACTCAAAACAACCTGTCACAGGAGATTTTATGGCATGTACACAATCATTATTTCACAAGAATTTCTTATTTTAGACTTTGAGCAAAGTATCTCTGGATATTGCCACGTTAACATATACCAGGTACATTGAACACAGGTATTTTAACACCAGAAACATCTCTATACTACCTTATACTTTGAACACTGGGTCTCCAGACACAAGGGACATCTCCACACTAACTTACACTTTGAACACAGGGTCCCCGGACACCAAGGACATCTCAACGGTAACCTCCAGGACGGAATTGTCTTGTCTATGTTTGGAGTCATAGCCCTCTAGAAGGAATTTCTGAGTCTGACAACCTGACCCAGCATACTCTGCCAAGTCCACATCCTTATACCCGAGCTTCTGGTATGTCCTCCCTCCTTTCAGCTCCTACAATAGGTCAAGGTCAATCAGAGGTCAGGTTAAAGCTGGACATTGAAATGGACAATACTTACCAATACAGTATGCTAATAATTTTGTACTGATTGTGGCAAACAATATTTTGGAAAGATCACTAATTTCTGAGAAAAAGCAATGATCATAATCTGTATGTCATGCATCTTGTTTTCAAACCAGCCTAAAACTAATGAAGCACAACATATAATGAAGTGTAAATGATGGTGACCCTCTTGTATATTCGATTGACTGCAAAATAAGACAAGCACAACTAAAGCCCCTAAGGCACCAATATCCTAATTTTTTTAAAGATGTCATCAATCATTATTGATAAAAAGTAAAAATGATAAATATAAGAAGTAAAAATTCCATATAACCACTGGTGACCATCTTGAACATCTGATCAACTTCAAAATGTGGCATGCAAAAATTTCCACTCCTGAAGATATGTAATTGAAGTTATATCCAATTGGTAGATTTGGAGATATACAATGGCTGGATTACTGACAAGTTTAAGTTTAGTGCTATACTCTTTAATAGGTTTATTATAACACATGCAGTTTCTCATTAAAAAGGTATCAAAAACATTGTCTTTAATTAAAGAACATGGGCTAAAATTAGATAACTTTTTTCAAAGAAAACTTTTCCATGTAAAAATAGAAAAATAAGACACTGTTGAAAAGATGCCTTGTCATACCATATTAGCTACACATATATACCAGTCATTAGTAACACACAAAAGATATCATAACTGAAGATGGAGGTCACTCACTTGACAATTCCATTTTAGTAATACCACAGGGTGGATAAGATAATAGATATTAGTAAATAAGGTTAGCCTAATTGTTGATTTTCAGATCTACTCTTAGTTGACAATCTTACTCCCAAACACCTACCCAGGGACCACCTCATCCTATATCACTATAAGTCATTGCTCTCTAAACATCTACCCAGGGACCACCTCATCCTAATCACTGTAAGTCATTGTTCTCCAAACATCTACCCAGTCCTCATCCTACATCACTATAAGTCTCTCTCTAAACATCTACCCAGGGACCACCTCATCCTAATCACTGTAAGTCATTGTTCTCCAAACATCTACCCAGGGACCACCTCATCCTGATCACTGGAAGTCATTGCTCTCTAAACATCTACCCAGGGACCACCTCATCCTACATCACTATAAGTCATTGCTCTCTAAACATCTCCCCAGGGACCACCTCATCCTACATCACTAAAAGTCATTGCTCTCTAAACATCTACCCAGGGACCACCTCATCCTACATCACTATAAGTCATTGCTCTCTAAACATCTCCCCAGGGACCACCTCATCCTACATCACTATAAGTCATTGCTCTCTAAACATCTACCCAGGGACCACTTCATCCTACATCACTATAAGTCATTGCTCTCTAAACATCTACCCAGGGACCACCTCATCCTACATCACTATAAGTCATTGCTCTCTAAACATCTACCCAGGGACCACCTCATCCTACATCACTATAAGTCATTGCTCTCCAAATATCTACCCAGGGACCACTTCATCCTACATCACTATAAGTCATTGCTCTCTAAACATCTACCCAGGGACCACTTCATCCTAATCACTATAAGTCATTGCTCTCTAAACATCTACCCAGGGACCACCTCATCCTAATCACTATAAGTCATTGCTCTCTAAACATCTACCCAGGGACCACCTCATCCTAATCACTATAAGTCATTGCTCTCTAAACATCTACCCAGGGACCACCTCATCCTACATCATTATAAGTCATTGCTCTCCAAACATCTACCCAGGGACCACTTCATCCTACATCACTATAAGTCATTGCTCTCTAAACATCTACCCAGGGACCACTTCATCCTACATCACTATAAGTCATTGTTCTCCAAATATCTACCCAGGGACCACCTCATCCTATATCACTATAAGTCATTGCTCTCTAAACATCTACCCAGGGACCACTTCATCCTACATCACTATAAGTCATTGCTCTCTAAACATCTACCCAAGGACCACCTCATCCTTTATCACTATAAGTCATTACTCTCCAAATAGCAATCTCTTTCTGACTCCATCTAAATCCCTGTTTGTGACTCCCACTAACTCCCTGTTCGTGACTCCCACTAACTCCCTGATCGTGTCTCCCACTAACTCCCTGATCGTGACTCCCACTAACTCCCTGATTGTGACTCCATCTAACTCCCTGATCGTGACTCCCACTAACTCCCTGTTTGTGACTCCCACTGACTCCCTGATCGTGACTCCCACTAACTCCCTGATTGTGACTCCCACTAACTCCCTGATCGTGTCTCCCACTAACTCCCTGATCGTGACTCCCACTGACTCCCTGTTTGTGACTCCCACTGACTCCCTGATTGTGACTCCCACTAACTCCCTGATCGTGACTCCCACTACAATCACTTCCACAACATCCTTGTGCTTGATGTGGATGTAAATAATTTCAAATCAATCTGAAAATGACTAACGAGTTGACATTCTGAGATTGTAGTATATGTGTAACAAAGACTCCTGCCTTACTATTATACATATTGTGATATGGTGGAATTTTTTTCTGTTTATTGATTACAGCCAATATTATACATATTCAATGGATGGAGATCAGACTGATTATACAACATATCCAGACAATAGTGACTGCATACATAATATACATATTTAATGGTTGGTGACTGAACAATATAAATACCAGGTATTTGTGTATTCAGAGTATGTTGACCTTTTATCTTCATTCTCCTGTTTGGATGGAGAAAATACATCCATACCGCTCTTGTAAATACATGTAAACTGTAAATGGAGACACAATATATCATAAATACTTACCTTTGGACAGAGATGTGACATTTATACTCCTTCAATGACCACAGAAAAGCATTGTACAACATACTGTACTTCATACTTACTTACCCTTTGGACAGAGAAGCGACATTTATAATCATCCAAATACATAGAACAAGAGGCCCATATGGCCTACATCACTCATCTGACTTTGGTTGAAATTCTTTTTTTTTTTTCAAATTAACGGTAAGGAAATTCAAAATGTTTATAAATAATCCTGCACCAGCTTCCACCCCTCTGCCCCCAAGGGGACAGCAAAACCATTTATACAAATGTCCAAAAATACTACAGACAAAACTGGGCCTGAGTTCAGCTATTCATGAAGAATTATACAGAAAATGGCCCTATTTCCATTATTGGGTCCTGCCCTAAAAGGCCATGGCCTACTGTTTATACAAAATTGATTACCTTTCTGCCTAGGATGCTTCTGACAAAATTGCCCAAGGGTGTAAGCTCCATTGTTTATATGAAACTTATTCTCCTTTAGCCAATGATGTCTTAAACCCAAATTATGACATAGAAGAAGGATTTTAAAGAATTTTTCCTATTGGGCCATGCTCCTCCTGCCATAGGGGGCCTAGTTCAACTCTTTATACAAAAGAAGAAGATTCTTAAAAAATATGCTAAATTTCCCCTTTTATGCCCCATCCCTCAGGCCACAAGGGATGTCCATCATTTATTAAAAATTGAGTCCCCTTCTGCCGAATCTGGTCCAAACCTGCTTAGTTATTCATGAACAGTAGTATTTTAAAGAAATTAAAAATTTAGACAGACAGGCAACAGACACTGTGGTACAGCATAAGCTCACCTTTGTCCTACTGATCAGGTGAGCTAAAAAGCACTGAACTCCTGCTTTCATACATACTTACTCTTCAGACAGAGATGTGAAATTTACTCTTGTCAAGAGATGTAGAAAAAACATTAAAACACCTTCCATCATACATATACTTACCCTTTGGACAGAGATGTGAAATTTACACTCATCCAGAGACACCTATAAACATTGAACACCCTCCTTCATACATATACGTACCCTTCCGACAGAGATGTGAAATTTACACTCGTCCAAAGACACATAAAACATTGAACACCTTCCTTCATACATATACTTACCCTTCGGACAGAGATGCGACATTTACACTCGTCCAATGACCCAGTATTAGCGTTGGCAGTCATCTTACACTGGAAACTAAAGGGAGCCTTCCACTTCACACAGTTGTTGATGATGTCCTGCCTACAATTAACAACAATCATTACTTAGCATAGAAATTACCAGAAACATTTGTTAAAGTGGATAAAATACTTGTAAACTCTCCTAAACAGGAAGAAATACCGGAAATATTTGATTTTTTTAAGAGGGATGAAGTACCGATGAAGTTAGTTAAACGGTAATATCAGATTTATAATGTGAGGAAATTTAGATTAAGTGCAAATTTATTTCTAAAACAAAATAGCAGCAGTTCTCCAATATCATTAATATCATAACTTTATTAGTATGATAAAATTCTCATAGTTTTTTGTGAAATAACATATCCCTTATACATGACTGTAAAAATTACCACTAATTCATTAGAATGATAAAACATGGTGAAATATCTGCGAATGTAAAGGTGAAGGAAGACCTATAACAGTTTAGTATAATTGTTTTATCAGTCTGTAAAGGTCATCACAACACTGGTAGAAGATTAGGGCCATTTCCTACAACTCATTAAAGGTAACGCCCATACATCAGATTCCATGTATACAGAAGATGAAGCTATAGTCACATGGAATTTCACATATGCAATGTTAGGAGGAAATTTCTATAGGTAATTGTTGAGTGCATAAAAATAAACCCATTATATTATATGCATCAATTTGGGTGATATAAAAGTGAGCTGCTCTGGTTTCTCCTCTGACAGCTGACTATCTGACACTCTGCCAACATGGCCAATGATAAGTTCAAAGAAATCCTTCTCTGACCTGCTGTATGTAAAAGTACTTAAACATTGCTGGCATTTCATGTATCTGTGGTATAAATGTTGTATCTAAGCTCTACTCAATAAGATCAGTCACTCTAATTACCTGTACACAACATAGTCTCTCCTTTAATGTAAACATTAGCCATCTGCTTTTCACAGCAGGTTTTGAAAATAATGATATCCAACCCAACCAAAGATTGGTAGCTGTGGTGGATTCAAGGGAGATTAACCTGTGGTGAAACTGATGATTTGGCTTTATAAGCATTCTTATCAAAATAGAACACATCTACTAAGAACGAACAAACCCTGTGGCTACACCTAAATAACTAACAGTAGGACAGGCACCACAATAACCCTACAGTAGCACAGGCACCACAATAACCCTACAGTAGCACAGGCACCACAATAACCCTACAGTAGCACAGGCACCACAATAACCCTACAGTAGCACAGGCACCACAATAACCCTACAGTAGCACAGGCACCACAATAACCCTACAGTAGCACAGGCACCACAATAACCCTACAGGAGGACTGGCACCTTAATAACCCTACAATAGAACAGACACCTCAATAACCCTATAGTAGGACTGGCACCTTAATAACCCTACAATAGAACAGACACCTCAATAACCCTATAGTAGGAAAGACACCTCAATACCCCTACGGTAGGACAGGTACCACAATTACCCTACAGGAAGACTGGCACCTCAATAACCCTACAACAGAACAGGCCCCTCAACTACCCTAAGGAGGACAGGCACTACAATAACAGCACCACAAACCTTACAGGAGACTAGATATGTTGGTGTTAGGAATGTCCCCACCAGCAAGCAATGAGAGGCACATTATCGAACCTTTTTGATGCTATTGGTTTATCAAGATCAAGATTTTCCAGGTTGTGTCATATATTGGTCAACCCAGGTAGATGACCACAGTTAATTCATAGCTGACTTGGTACAAACTTCATATCTTCAGAATTCTTTTTTCCAAATTTCAGTTTAATATGTTCATCCATCAAAGAGTAAATGAACAGAAAGTAAATGATGATAGAATGATGGCCTGGGGCAACAACACTGTATGTCCCAGCCATAAGCAGTCTCTGATCCACGATGAATAAGACAAGAGGTCTCTGATATTTCTAGTCAAATCTCTGGCAATGTTTCTGTAATACAGAGAATTCCTCCCCTTGTCTATAGAGTAATTAGTGTACGAGTATGACCTTACATAAGTAGCTGTCGTTAAAGACATCTTTCATCAGGCACAGACTACTGTCTTCTTATACAGCAGCATTACAAAAACTATAGGAACAGATCTCTTAAGGAAGTGGACCTCATCAGCGCCTACCCTGCCTAATTGAGTCAGATTCCATCGGTGAACATCTAAGTAATTAATGGAGTGCTGCCTGGTATAATTACAGTCTCTCTGTATAGCCACTTCAGTAAAGTAAGGTTCCCTGACACAGAGTAAGCTACTGTAACAGGACATTGTGGTCTCCCACCTGTACAGTGGCAAATCTGTATATAAGCTTGATTTTAGATACTGTAAATATTATTATTGTTGTACGAAGGCAAGATCAAACAGTTATTTACGGATGTCCTGTAACCGTAGAACAGGATGTACAAGCGCAATCCACAAGGCCAGTCAGTGTACATGTTTTGTCTTTATAGATCATACCTGTAGCCTCTGGAAGGATCTATCAGACTTTCCTTTACACTAAAACTTGACACAATTATGTGGTGTTGGATTGCTTGTCCACCCCAAGTAATACTTGTACAACATAATTAATTTGTATTGTCTGACCTCTGCAGACAACAGTGACATCGTAGCTATCATAATACCTAGAGGTACATAGGACTGCAGCAGGAAACTCTGCAGTTTATTTGTGCAGAGGTGTATGCATGTCTTGGTAAGGAATGTTGATGATGACACATTGCACTTGGACCATTAAGTTGTTGTGAGATGACTGTGTCTACATTTTTTATGTCAGTCCTTGTGAAAGAATGTGTCAGAGAGTCAGTTATGCAGATAATATCACCTCTTGCCAAGATATTGTCAAAAAATACAATCTACAAGATTGTAAATGAAATAAGATGATGTGTGGATGACAAATTATTGAGTTTTTATCTTTACTGATATGTCCCTTTGATCCTATAGTACTACATAAAGCACCTGAATCCTTATTGTTCTAAAATTAACACTAATCCCTATTACACAACGATGAGTACTGAATCACTTTACTATAAGCACCTACATCCCAGTTACACAAAGATGAACACCCTGATAACTTTAATATAAGGATGAACACTGCATCTATATTATACTAAGATGAACACCAAGATCCCTATAATACTAAGGTGAAAACCTGGATCCCTATCACACAAAGATGAACACCTAGATAACTTTAATATAAGGATGAACACTGGATCTCTATTATACTTAGATGAACACCAAGATCCCTATAATACTAAGGTGAAAACCTGGATCCCTATCACACAAAGATGAACACCTAGATCACATTTTTGTACTAAGTTGAACATCTGGATCTCTTTTGTTCTAAGGTGAACTCCCAGATTAGCCCTTTTGACAGAGTCAGCTATGCATGTGACACAGAGTCAGCTGTATATGTGACAGAGAGTCTGCTATATATGTGACAGAGAGTCCACTATGTATGTGACAGGAAGTCTGCTATGTATGTGACTGGGAGTCAGCTATGTATGTGACTGGGAGTCAGCTATGTATGTGACTGGGAGTCAGCTATGTATGTGACAGAAAGTCAGCTATGTATGTGACATAGATTCTGCTTTATATGTGACAGAGAGTCTGCTATGTATGTAACACATAGTCAGCTATGCATGTGACACAGAGTCAGCTGTATATGTGACAGAGAGTCTGCTATATATGTGACAGAGAGTCCACTATGTATGTGACAGGAAGTCTGCTATGTATGTGACTGGGAGTCAGCTATGTATGTGACAGAAAGTCAGCTATGTATGTGACAGAGAGTCTGCTATGAATGTGACAGAGAGTCAGCTGTATATGTGACAGAGAATCAGCTATATATGTGACAGAGAGTCTGTTGTATATGTGACAGAGAGTCCATTATGTATGTGACAGGAAGTCTGCTATGTATGTGACTGGGAGTCAGCTATGTATGTGATACAGAGTCAACTATGTATGTGACACAGAGTCAGCTATGTATGTGACAGAGAGTCAGCTGTATATGTGACAGAGAGTCAGCTATGTATGTGACAGAGAGTCAGCTATGTATGTGATACAGAGTCAACTATGTATGTGACAGAGAGTCAGCTGTATATGTGACAGAGAGTCAGCTATGTATGTGACAGAGAGTCAGCTATGTATGTGATACAGAGTCAGCTGTTTATGTGACAGAGAGTCAGCTATGTATGTGACAGAGAGTCAGCTATGTATGTGATACAGAGTCAGCTATGTATGTGACAGAGAGTCAGCTGTTTATGTGACAGAGAGTCAGCTGTATATGTGACAGAGAGTCAGCTATGTATGTGACAGAGAGTCAGCTATGTATGTGACAGAGAGTCAGCTATGTATGTGACAGAAAGTCAGCTGTATATGTGACAGAGAGTCAGCTGTGTATGTGACAGAGAGTCAGCTGTATATGTGACAGAGAGTCAGCTATGTATGTGACAGAGAGTCAGCTATGTATGTGACAGAAAGTCAGCTGTATATGTGACAGAGAGTCAGCTGTGTATGTGACAGAGAGTCAGCTGTGTATGTGACAGAGAGTCAGCTATGTATGTGACAGAGTCAGCTATGTATGTGACAGAGTCAGCTATGGTTTTGTCAAAGATTCAGCTTTGTACCTGACAGAAAGTCACCTATGTACATTACAAAGAGTTAACTATGCTGATACTTGTCATGCCAAGATATTTTTAAAAGAAAATTTACCAGATTGATCCACATATAAGACATACCAAGAAATAAGCCGTACCCTTATTAACGATGTGGTAACCTTTATTTTGACCAAAGTTCATTGATATAACAGACAGATAGCCCTTTATTTTATTAATGTGTCTGAAAAATGTAAAATAGCAATTCTCGAACCAGTTTGGCTTGGGCGCCTTCAAAGATTGTCTACACACAGATATAGAGACTGACATTATGTACGGTTAACTTATCAATATCTCCATTGGTGTCTGCACTGGATCCCTATTGCACACATATAGGCACCTGGATCCTGTTTGAAATTCAAGGTAAATGAATCTTGCTTGATAAAGGTATTTGGTGTGCACCA